ACCCCTTCCCCATGTCCTCCAGCCCCACAGGAACGTCCCCTCGGCTGCTGCTCTGCACACACTCTGGAGCTTCCCAAAGCAGGGGCTGTGTCCCAGTGGGCCCAGCTTGCAGACATGGCTGTGGGCCATGCACGGGCACAGCTCCATGAGACGCCACCCCTCTTCAGGCCTTGCTCTCCCGAGTTCTTCTGGCATCGTACTCATGTGGCCCTGGCTCAGGCCTCCCTCGGGCACAGGGCAGGCCTTGGTGGGGCAGCTTCTTCCCTTGAGGACGGGGCGGGCCTCGGTGGGGCGGCGCCTGCTGGAGTCTCCAGGCTGTTCCCATGACACTCAATCACCTTCTACTCACGGGTGCACTGGAGACACACAAGTGTCTCTTAAGTTCATTTAAACAAAACAATGAATTGCTTGGAGAAAAACCCCCTCGCTTGCTCACTGGACAGATATTCATGGAGCGCTGTGTTTGTGGTACCGCCAGAGGCCTTGGGCGTCAGAGCCGGGACCAGACAGACACGGCCTCGCCCTCAGTGGACACGAGCGAGGTGTCACACAGTCATGGGGGGATGCATGAGGCACGTGGGAATTCCTGAGACTGGAGGGAGCCTGAGTCCCTGTTCCTGGAGAGGGGGGCGTGGGCAGGACAAGTGCGCAATGAGCGCGCGCCACACCCCAACCTTCTCTGGCCAGCAACCACCTGGCCACAGTGGGGCCTTCTGTTTTTTCAGTTTAAACTTTTAGTAACTACAGAAGCCTAGCTCCCTCTGAAGCCAGTGCCACCTCGCCGGACCTCTCTGGGCCCTGTGGCCCGCCCCGTCCCAGCCTCCCAGCTTTCCTGCTGCTCAGGCCCAGACCTCTCAGACCTGAGCCTGCCCTGTGACCTTGGCTGGGGCAGGTCAGTTAGACGGAATTCACACGTGTGTGCTCTGAAGTTTAGAAACGACCTCCCTCACAACCAACCAACAAAAGGAAAACTTCCCATCGCCATCCCCGAATCCATCCTCCGTTCAGAGCCTTTCTTCCTGAGGGGCAGGAGGGCCGGAACCGCGCCAGGCGGGGGCAATTCTCCTCTCCCAGCAGAGTGAGTCCAGCCGCCGCGACGTGGGCAGCCCTGCTCCCTGGTGGTGACCTTCACCCCCTCCACGCCCACAGCAACAAACAGCCCAGCGTGACTTAGCGCTGCCCAGGCCTCGCATGGACACAGGGTGGGCCCTGCAAACGCCTGGAGAAAGTGGGGGCTCTTTGTCTCCCTCTCCCCTTCCCAACCCAAGGGGCTTGAAAATTTTCTTAAAGGCAGATGGGTTTGAATACCCAGACAACTGAACAGAGACCGTTCCTCCCGTTCTTTTCCTTGAGTTTAGAGGCTCTGAAATTTAGTGTTTATGAGACTTCCTGTGTCTGCTGCGTGCACAAAACCATGGATGCTGTCATTTATGTGCAATTGAAAATATTCAGAAGGATGGTTTTTGTGTATAAACATTTTTTCCTTGCCTTGAGCGCTGAATTTAGAAGCAAACCCTGACGTACACAGAGGAGTGACCACACAGAGCTTCCTTAACCAGCATCCCTCCGGGGCCTCATGAATTTGACACTGCGCACATTTCTTAGGACTTCTTTGCCAAGGTCAATGGACATCCCAAAGAAAGGCCACTGGGCCTGCGGAGGCAGGGTGCGGGGAGAACTTCAGATTCCAGGCCCCTCCCCAGCCCGACGGCCCTCCTGCTCCTCCACTCCGAGGAAGACGTGGACTTCCTTCCACCAGGCCCCTCCCAGCCAGCGGAGGAATTCCAGGAAGCAATCAAGGCAGGGAAAAGTGATCAATCCATCTTGTTTTGGATTTCCCCCTCTCCTTTCTGAACTCAGACGGATTAGTATCGAGTGGGAGCTCCCAGGAATCAGTCTTGCATCCTGGGATGTCACATTCTGGAACAGGCTGTGATGGAAGCAGGCTGCCTCCTCCAGGGAGCCCTCCTTCCACACCCTGAACACCGACGGCCTGTGCCAGCATCGGAGCGGGTAATGCTGTTTCGAACGGCCTCGTCGGGACAAACCTCAAGCCTCTACTGCACTGCCCTCCCCCTAGGGCCCCACCAGGGGTGAGAGTAATTTGGTGTCTCCCACCATTTCCTGGGGCCAAGATTGACTGACTCTTGGGTTAGACACTGTGCCAGGCCCACTGGTCACAGAGAGGAACGCGGCACAGCCTCATCACAGAGGGGGATGGAACTCGGCCTCATCAAAAGGTGGACGGCAGACAGAACAGACAGATGGTGGGGGCAGTTCAGAGGCAGGCTGACAAGGGAGGAAGCTGGGATGAAGGAAAGAAGGAGAAACGATTTTAAAAGCAAGAAAGGAGGAAGGGGGAGGAAAGCAAAGAGGAAGAAGGGAGGGGAAAGAGGACCAGAGGAAGGGGGACGGGAGAAGGTACTGGGGGCGGCGGGCTGGGGCAGGGGGAGACACACTTTCCTGGAATGCTTCCTGATCTCCCGCTAATGTCAGCAAAGCAGATCATGGGTCCTGGCTTTTTCCACCACCAAGAATCCCAGCCGATTCTCACCTTGAAGGGTGAGGCAGGGAAAACGACTCACAGGGCCGAGCTGCCCTCGTGGTGTTACACAACCTCAGCGTGCTGCCAATGTTTTTATGTAATCCTCCGACTCTCCCCATAAAACAGACCATAACACCGTGGCAAGCACGCTTCAATAGAGCCATGTGCCATTGCCAGGCACGCCGCCTTCCGGGAGACGAATCGCACTGCCGGGCGGCCAGGCAGCTGCTTGAACTACTTTTCTCCCCTCGTGGCTCCAGCTGAGTCAGAAAGATCAGAGAAGCCACAGAGCTCACCAAGCACAGCTCTGCGAGAAACTCAGGGATTCTGTGGGTGATGGTGCTCGGGAAGTCGGGCTGCTCTGAGCCAGACAAAGCTGGGACGACCCCTCGTCATGGGGACTCACCTTCCCTCCCACCCCACGGCCTGTCTGCAGCTTGCCCTCAAGAGAGGGTGCGGCTCCTGAAGGAAACGCAAGACCACCCCCATGTCTTCGCCCCCACACACAGCAGGCACATCCGGAGCCCGTGCTTGCCCGCGTAGCCCCAGCTCCCGTCACCTCCCACTCCAGCCTGTTACGAATGCTTTCTGGAGGAGGTTTGCTGGGGCTGCCAATGCAGAAACCTGAATCATCGACAGGGAACGGAAAGCCACGTCGGGTAGTGATGTGGGCACATGCAAACTTTCTCCTCCTGCCTGGCACCCCGATGCAGCGCGGCCTTGGGGGCAGCTGCTCCTCCGGTCCTGCTCCGGGAGGGTAGAGCGAGTGGAAAAGTGCTTGCTCTCAGCAGCTGTGGCCGCTGGCCCTGACCTGTGGTGACTCCGGTGCTGCCTCTCGGGCTGACCTACATCCACTCGTGATGAAATAGACCCACCAGGAGCTGGATGCTTTCATGGACTCTGGGGCTCCCAGGTGCCACAACCTGCGTCTCCCTGGGTAATAAGTCCTGCCAAGCCCTGCTTGATCCTCAACTCCATCCTCCCAGGAGTCTCAGGTCTCAGCCTCATTCTTCTCCCATAACAACTTTCTAACGAGGCCTTGGGCACCCCCAGGACAGGGGCTGCCTAGCACAGTGGTTGAAGCATTTGGTGCCTTCGAACCTCAGGGGCAAAGGATACGGCACCAGCAGCCTCCCAGGGGTGGCGTCCCCACCCTCCTCTTTCCCCACCTTCAAGAGTGGAGGGGTCGGCTGCAGCCTAAACCTGACGCCCCCGCCTAAACCTGATGCCCCCCACTCCTGGAGCGCCAAGCCTGCCCCCCACCCCACACTCCTGGACCTGGGGCACTACTGCCTGCTCCTAGAGCCCCTGCAGAAGTTCCCCTGGGGAGTAAGTTTGGAGTCATTGTGGGGGCAGGGGGACTCCTCAAGTCTCCCCTGGAGGGGTGGGTGCCGTGGGGCGTGGGGGGGTGGGGGGACAACAAAAACACGTTGCTGCCTGCTGCTAGAGGGCCTCCGGCGGCTTCCTTTCCTCTCTCCCCTGCATATTCCCTCCCACAGGGGCGCAGAGGGGCGCCCACCCGAGTCCGGCCTGACCATCGCGCCGCCCGGGGTGGCCGCCTGTACCAGCAGGGGCGGTTTCCCCTGCCCCCTGGGCGCCCCCCGCTCACGTTTGTAGACTGGTTGTAGACCACCATCCTTCCAGGTGGTCCAGGCGCTGCAGGATGGCCTCGCGATCCCCCCAGCGCGCCCACCTTGGCGTGTCGAGCTGCGCGATCCGGCGGTCGCCGCTCACGATGGCACCGAGCTCCTGGGGAGCGCCTGCAGGGGCGCAGTACACGGAGAACCAGGACGATGCCCACGGAACACCAGGATGTTCACCCGTCAGGCAAAGTTGGATCCTTCCGTTGGCACCACGCCATGGAACGCGGCTGCGCGGGTGCGACCACTCGCGGG